TACATCAATTCAATATCGAAATGAAATTTTAATCAGAAAAAATAGATTGTAACAAAACTTAGACTGATAAACAAATTAAAATCTTTGCATCATTAACAAGAGCTAACTGCGTTGGGGTAAAAGGATGATTTTTTAGTCAGATTGAATTTGCTAATTCGACTGAAGATTATCGGGGTTCAGTCACTAAGTTTTACATAGAGAATTTCTAATGATCAAATGGAATTGAGATAAAAAGAAAGAAAAAAACAATTTTAATAGGACAACAGCCGATATTCACGGAGATCCTGTCTCTCAGCTGCTCTTGGTCTTTCCCAAATTATCCAAATCCATTTACAGCTGGGTCGACATGAGAAATTCGGAAACACTATGAACCCACAACCACTATTTGTTCATTTCAAATATCGTTTTGGTTTACAGATATCACTACGAAACATTATCTCTTGAAATACCGCCACGCCACCCACAAGAACATTTGACAAAAATGTTACGACTAATTACAACAACCATCAATCTTGATAAGTTGTTTTACCTATTTATGAGAAAAACTTAAAAAGACAAAAAATTAAGTGGCCCAATAAAGTATGACATATTGATTTTTAGTAAAAGTTAATCTGTTTTATTAAATCCGGGTTTAAAAAACGAAATTAAATTTGGCTAATGAAGAATGATAGATTAATTTTCCCAAAAAATTTCATTTGTTTTAGTAAATCTGAGTTCAATGTACAGACAAAAAACGACAGTCTGATGTGGTCGTGTTCTTACTTTCAAATTAGTTAAAGTTCCAATTCCTGGTGGCATTTGCCCTATCGTGTCTGATCTGTCTTATTGTAATAAGGCAAGGAGAACTGTTTACATTAAAATAATTATAATTAGGGAGTAAATGCCTCAAATTTAGTTTGTTTTCTATAATGAAAAATTCCGCCATTTTGAAACCAGCTATCAGCAGAAATTAACCAATATTCCCATTAAATGTATTAATTTGATCGGTCAAGGATTCAGCTTGTTCTGGGAAACAAACTATTGCGCAAGTCATCATTGGTTGGGACCGTCTTTATTAGCCCACATGGTGCAGAAAAGTAGAACGTAAAACTCAATTCATTTAATTTCGTTTCATTGGATGGGAGAATGGCAACGGATATTGTGAGCAACTGAAAGCTCGATGGGAAATGGCTTCAGTATCAAACCCAAATTATGGTCTGTTCTATGGAGTTAAAGATTATTTGAGAACACTCTTAAAGAATATATTTAATGAAAAGCGCAACAAGAGCGTCTGCACTATCAATGGGAAAAGTACTTCAAAATCACGCTCACATTCTTGTCTGTTCGAAGCAGTCAAAGATTATTTTAACACTTTTAAGAACTTTTTATAATCAACAGTTCAATGAGAAAAGTGCTTCAATATCACGCTTAAATTCTGGCCAATTATAACACGTTTCTAGAGTGTATTTAGCACATTTTCTGAAAATAAATATGAAATGAACAACACAACGAGAGGGTAAAAATACATAGTTCCAAATACATGTACAACCAACCCTTAGACCTGAGGAATAACATGGAGGACACTGCCGTCATATTTCTATTTCCGTAGTTGATTTAAATTTAGTTAGACCTGTAATCCTATTGTCGTGCTTGTTTTTTATTGAAGAACCATTAGTCTCAGACACTTCTCTCCTTTATTATTTATGGAATCACAATCTTTTTATTGTATTTACACAAAATCTAGTTTATTAAGTTTACACATTAGTTCGGTCATCTTACTGCGACACTCGAGTTTCTGAAAACTTAACTTAAGCCACCATTCATGACACATAGAACATTAAGTTTAGATCCACCAAGTTCTAACTATTATTTTTGGTCTCAAAGGAGTTCTCTTAACAACGTGACAGATAGTTTGTAATCAAAGGGTTACGTTCCCAGCTAGCCTTATGATCCTAACTCAAGATACTCAAATGTGTCTGATACAACACGCGATTTGCTAATCAAAGTGGTCTGAGCATTAACCAAAGCAAACTGGATAATAGCGGAAGTTGCTGGGAATTTTTCTTATGAACGCATAACTCTGATGACGTGACAGATTCAGTACCAATACTGTAGTACAATCCAAGCAAGTTAAAATGAGACACAGAGTGGATTTAAAATAAAATGAATTGTAAAAAAGGTTTGATAGTCGTTTCGCAATTTGCTTCTACGGCCTGGAATGCACTCGAATTACATTTTATTTCGCTTTCCTGAAACTGAAAGGGACAAGTTTTTGAATGCTTAACGATAAAAGTAAGGGAAATTTGTGCAGGTACGAAATTATTGTCTTGTAAACGCTTTAAGTTATTCTGATTTCAGAGCGTCAACCACTATTCATCTCTTCGTTAAGCTTGTTCGTGTTGTACATGTTTTGCTACAGGTATGCCTGTGACCATTCTGGTTTATTTCGACATGGCAATGTTTATTGAAGATATGTGATTGTTAACTCGGCATCTATTTCAGAGAACTCACATAGATCAGTGTGTACATTGGTTATCTTGTATGGCCACCATGTCTGTACTGCTGTACTACTGCAGTAATAGCAGCAAATCTAATGAACAGAGCTGTGTTTTACTGTGTTTTAATAACAATAGTCTATAGAGTAATATCCTTAACTGTGCACTATAATTACATAATGTTTTAATACCAATTCCAACCAGTCTGTGGCCTGCTAGATAAGACACTTGTAATAAACTTTATGAGTATTTCAGAGCTAATAAATTACTCACAGGATTTCAATCAGTTGGTATCTTCTGCATTTCAACATTGTGTCTCTTTATTGTTCAGTCGAAACTTTCTCAATAAAAATGTATTGGCGCAAATATGCCTCGAGGGTTATAAAGTCTTCAATACATACACAGACAGAGAAATTCTGAATTTACAGAACTTAAGCTGTATTGCCATTTGGTCAAATTTTAATATCTGCAAGCATGAGTGCGTTATTTAAACCATTGGAAATTGTGGTTGTGATCTGTTCAGGACATCTTCACATGTCATTTCCGGTTTTGTTTGTTTGGAATTACGGTACTTTCTGACGTACGGATGTGCTACATGAACTGTAAATGATTCTAGATGTCATCCATCGGAATAAAAATATCAGCAATTTCTTTTCATTTTAGCGCACATGAGTCAACGGCCAATCACATTTTTTTACTTTTGAGAATGCCGGTTGGGGAGGTAGGTGATAATCTTTGAATATCCATCCGCCCAATAAAAGAAACATGGTAAGTATATGATATTTCTTCTTGAAATAGAATGAAATTAAATTACGTCGTATATTTCTGTACCTGATTGAGCACGCTCTACTTCTGTTCTCTCCGAGGAAAGCCTATCGTTTATGTTTTTTTTTATCAACGGCTTATCGTTTATTTGAATAGATTTAAACGTAAAAAAGTTCTGTACAACTCATTGTTAATTTCATAGCATTATGCGAGCCTGGTTTTCAACGCTAGTGATATCTAAACGATAAGAGTTGTAATCTAAACTGTCCATCTATTCAATTTAGTAATGACAGTATTGTCATGATTGTATGAGAAATTATGATTACATTACTATATATACTTTGCAATCTATGCACGTATTGAGCTCATTAGTGAATTTATATGACTTTTATCGGGTGTTCTCTATCTAATGCATGGTTCGCAAAGGCACAGGAGGCATCGATATGCGTAACTAGGTCAATTTCAGACAGATTTCAGAATAATTATTTAGAAGAGATCATGGTAATGTTCAAGTAGTTAATGAAGTTCCTATAATGGATTGTTTTCGCATTCTGTAATCGCAGCTAAGCAATTATAATCATAAACAAGACACTTTCAATAATACTGTAATCTAGATGCTTCTGAATTCAAGTCAAATCCCGACAAAATCTACTGATTTCAATCAGACTTGAACGATTGTTTTCTCAAAACTGCAAGCGCTGGGGCAGATATAGCAGCTTGGCTGAAATGACTTCAGTAATAGTCAAGTAGATGCTAAACATGTCCCTTCATAAAAAATGAACTATTTTTCAAGTAAGATTTAATATGTGAAAACTCTTTTATAATATACCGAATTTATGTAAGAAATGCCCCAAAATAATGAAGTTGAAACGAGGATATTTATGCACCTGAATATCAGAATTCAAATTAATCGGGTAACTTGGTTGAATTTGCCCTGTTCCTCATTGAGCGCATAGTGACCGAAATGGAAACAAGGTTAAACCATTGAATTAAGACACTGAATACAGCAAGAATGAATGTTCAGCAAAACGCGGGCATATCACCCTTTGCTACTTTGTGCGTTTTACTTTAATCAATTGCATGATTACTATACGTCTCAGAGTAAATTAATGAAACGTTGTATGTAATCAAAACAAAGTAAATTGGCCGATTAATTAATCATATTCCATCTCTCATTGTAGTAGTGATTGATGAAAATGTAAATTATTGAAACGTTGTTAACAGTTTGAGTGGCATAGTATTCCTTAAAATTGTTGCGATTGTAATATTGTCTGTTTTATGTATTAGTTGTAAAAACTTAGGGTGATTGAAAGTAACAAGTTACTATTCAATAAAATGCATTGGCACAGGGTTAAAAAAAATTTACAACTAAAATTATTGTGGTGTTAATATAGTAAACTACGCAATAGAAAGTAATTTTGAAAGGCGGACCTTTTTTGTCACTAACAATAATATAACGTAATTTTTGTGTTTAAAATGTTAAAATGTAGAGCTCTTCTATTAGTGGAAAGTCGACCATGAAAACTATTATAGAGTACAGAATCTGCAGTTTTTACGAGGTCGATACATTGTAAATGTTTGGAATAAAAGCAATTGGGAATTGTAACATGATATAAAATTTACACAAAAACGCATAAATGTATTCAGTTTTTAAGAGATTTTTACATTCTAAATCTTTGGAACGATAGCAAATGGGAATTAATTAAAACGTGAATTAAAATTACAAAAAGGTGCACAAATTTTAAAAAAGGATTTACTCACCATCGCTTCTGTTCCTATGACGGCAAATATTACAAAACAGGCAACTATTTTGACAGGAGACGGTTCCATGGTTATTGTCTATGTAAAAAGTTTGAAGAGTTTCAGAGGAAAGATACAGTAGATATTATTCCGATACAATTGAGATCACGTGACTTCCAGATTGGCCACTCTTCACTGGTATCACTTCACAGTCGGCCAGCGTTCTTTCCAAGTCTAGTACAGATTGTTTCAATGTTATAATGGACAGTGCTGAATTAAATCTATGACTATATAGCATTTCTCCTCCTACAATCTACTGTCCCTCCCTCTTATTATACCATGTCCAACCCCCAACCTACTGCCTTACACCTTACTTACACCTCGCACGCTCATACAGACCAATTACTTTCATTGTTAATAGCACATGTAGCTTGTCATTTGAATACATTCTTAATATCCGGTTAATACACTAGGATCAGTATAGTACACTGTAAGAGTAAACGCCATTACGTATCTATCTACGTGGGCCAAACGGTGAGCATTGCGTGGACAAGTATTTTGTGATATTTGGGTAATTTCGGTACCAAGAACGGTCTAACATAATAGCATTATTGCAGTATTTTGTCGATTGAATACGTTCCATCCATCCGATATCTCAGTTAAGGTGAGTCAAAGATGCTGTATCAGGAGACGCTATTAAGTGTTTCCCTTATATTAGCTATATAAACCGAATGGTTCGCTAGCGCTCTGCAACACATCAGGGTGTTTGATGGTAGCCATTCTTACAGGTACAGTCCTGCAGACGCAATCTTGATAATTCATATTTTAACCAAAACAAAAACCCCAAAATCTTCAAAAGTATAGAATCAACCTGATAATAAAATGTAAAGGTGGTTAACAGATAATCATGAAATAGGCAAGTGCGAATCAGTTGTATTGCCATATATAAACACTGCACTCCTACATATCAACAAACGTAAAATGGCGGACGATATGCACCAAGCTTAAAACAACCTGTATTTAAACTATGTGTAATTAACCAATCCACTTGAAACGAGCACGATGAAAAAGTGTCAAACTTCGCTTCGAAACCCTAGAGCAGCCCGATATCACATTTATCCGAATTTCTACAATAAAAATGGCGGTCGATATGCACGAAGCATGAAACAACTTGCAGTTTAAACAAGGTGGAATTTATCAACCCACTTGATGCGAACGAAAGAAAAAAGAATATTTCTATTAACACCACGTTTGAATGAAATCACGGTAAATGATTACAATTACTCTACAATGAAAACAGATGAGTTCGTGATGCGCTGAATGCAGAAAGTAAATCAGTTTTTTTTTTTGTATCAAATTTTAATATGGGAAGATCTGGTAATAGTTATTGCGATAATGACGTCATAATCTGAGATTAGAATGAGAGTGGTTCATTTCCACAGTTTACCAAAGTATCAAAAGAATATATATTATATTTTTTATATTTTTGTTGCCTGGGGAATTTGTGACTCTTACAAATCACCTTCTTCACAGTGGTCAAGGTATAACGAACTTCGTCTTATACCTTGACTGCAAAAGCCAAATTTTCTGTATCACAGAATGCAGCTATCTGATTAGATTACAACCAACCATAGACAGACAGCTTATTTTTTACAGACTTACAGACTCTATTCGCCAGAGTACAGTCCAAGAAAGGTGGTCATTGATGTGAAGGTATAAAACGAAGTACATAATAGTTTGACATTGTTAAGATGGTGAATCATCTGAAGTCTGTGACTGTGTTTTTCAACTGGGCATCCCATTTGTAAGTTCCATATAACTGGTTGGTTGGTAATTAATATTCGCTTTCAGCGGATGCTGATAACGCAAACTAGGTAGTTGTTGGTAGTCGTAGTCATTGGTAGTTAAATTGGATGAATGGATGATTCTGTGTCGTTGGTTTGTTGGTTGAAAATGTCCACATACCTAGGATTGCCAATAATACAACGCATGAAGTGGTACTATGTCCAGTTAGCCCAAACACGTCAACGTGCCAATGGCGGAATCACACTGTTTATGGGTTGTTATTGTACTTTTCCAATCGATTGCCCCACTAAATTGGAAGTTTCAAAAATTTAGTAGTAGATCAATTTTCCATGACAAGTCTATCTGGTAGGGAAGCATAAGAGATATGTTCAGTTCAATTTTAAAATGATGATTTAACAGTATTTTTTTTAGTCGAGTATCATTAAGTACAAGTTTATTTATACATTTTACCTATTGTTTCCATAACGGTTTGCAATTTGCTGATTGCAGTTGAGATTTTTTTTTCTGCATACATCTATTTGGATTATATGTTCCTTTGTAATAATGAACACGGCACCGACACGGCACCGACATTCGTTATTAACAACAGAATATGCCGACCATGGTTTGGCCCTTCCGACCAACTTTAATGAGTATAATATGGTCCTATTGTCGCTCACGATCTTGTCGACAAACCGAGCCTAGTGAAACACTATTGACCCCTTATAATATCTAGAAACTTTCTGTTCAGCGACTGATAGCGGGGATATGAGCTGGAATAATTTCCAATCCTTTTCGTAATTGTGGCAGTTTAAACAAAATCTCACCTGAAAAGGAGACCCACAAAAACCATGGGTATCTTTAAATACACATAACAGTTTCGTTTACGCAAAACTTGGAAGGTCCATCTGAGATTTGTGAAACCCCGATCTCATTGAGCTACCTGCAGTTCCAAACCGGCGTTACAACTAATAATTGTTTCAAAATACAAATAGAAGGATTGGCTCATTCAATAAAACAACTATAGCGTAGTCAATGGATATAAACAATCGAAAACCCACAATGAAAGAAATACTATTTCGTCCATTAAAAAGTTACAAATCACCGTTTTCTAATTAAGAACCAATAATAGTTTAATTGAGTAGAAATTAAATCTGTACTGTAGCCTACAGTGTTGATAGTTACTACTAATTTCCGACTAATTGATGATTTGTGAAGAGAAATCAGTATTTATTAGTCGGCAATTGCTTTACTCGTGCCATTTTCATAGCTTTCCATACAACTGATATAGGGGTCGCTCAATTGTGGGTTCTGAACGTGTGGAATTCCTGGAATTAAACAATAAAACAAGTAGTTCAGAATAAATAGTAGGTGCAGACAGAATTCAAAAAATTTGAATGTGACATATTCTGCTTCCGTAACATTCAATTGAGGGCAGAATGGGATCTCTTCAGAGCTCATCAATCGAGCGTTACCATAGAGAAATGAACCATATCTTCGGACCCAAGATCTCGGAATTCTAAAATTTCAGTTCGATAGTAGGCTACATAAGATTTGTTGTCATAGGAGAACATTAAATAGAACAGTGCCCTACTTGGTCGTTGGCGAACACACATATTACACAATCCTAAGTTATCGGGTTTCATTGTTATTGAATTGAAATACAGATATTGACATGCCGTTAATTTGTCTGTTTATCTGCAAGGTTCTTCACTTATTTCATATAATTAAGTAACATATATAGAGAAAGTATAATCACCAGTCCAATACACGTTCACCAAAGCTTAGCCTACACTTATCGGAAAAATATTAATATAATGTTGGATCATATTATGAGATTATAAACCGAGTTGTAACAAAGGTTAGTTTGGGAAGAAGTTGTCACTTTGTACTAATGACAAAGTAACGAAAGCGAAGGCCAGAACTAATAAGTTTTAAGTTTCTTTAACGGTTGGCATAAATAAACCGAGTGCTAACGATCCGAACCGCAAAACGAATCCCGAAATCCAAGCAACAAATTGGCGAAACATTAGTAGCAGCTAATAGTATATTACGCTTGATCTAAAGAAGTTTCGTATCAAATTTCTAATCAGTAAATTGCCCTGTAGAAAATAGACGTAATGAAATAAAATGAAATTTAAACGAAACAATGTATCTGGAGTTGAATTTTAATAAAATTATTTCCAAGTCACTTGTCTGATATCTGAACATTGGCAATTAATTATACGTAAAAAAAAAACTCAGATATAAAAATAATTATATTTGTGGAAGAGATGATTGTATCAATATTAAAGCTTGTGTAAACTCTCCATAGACATAAATCTCTATACCATCACTACATGGTATATTGACAGCAACACTCCCTAGTGACTGGTATATAATTGTTGGTCACTCACACCGGACAATATTCTCACTCTAGTAAATTAATATTATATCAATTGCAGTGATTGAAATTAGATTACGACAAATTCAATCTCAGATTTCTATCAAATTGTAGTAATCTTTTACCTAATTAATAAGCATGGCCTTTCAACTCAATAATAACCATGGTTTGTCAGCACCATCTAGATCAATCAATTGCAAATCTTTTCATAATAGTTTAAAGGTTACAAAGTAAACAATTGTCATCTGTATAACAGAAATTTTCAACACTGCAGTAGCGTTAAACAATTCAATTTTACACATTGATACACTACAAAAGTTTGATTGGCATGCTAAAGTGGTGATTTTTCACAGCAAGTTCGTCTGAAAGTACCTGTACACTAAGATAAGAGAAGATATATTGCATATACGCCAATTGTGGGAAGCATACAAATATAAAACTACGAAACTACGAATGAAGGGCGTAGTAATAGAAGAAGCGGCCGAGTTGATCGAAACGTATGTATTAAACTAATTACCACAGCAGATCTGAACGGCTTAGATTGACTTTTAAAAGAAATTAAAACACGGTGGTAACAGTTAACCTGTTTTCAATCAATGCAGAAAAGTGGGACGTTTAACTCAATTTTCGTTTCAATTAATTTAGCTAAAACCATATAGACGCTAAAAACAACGTATGTATCTTTTTACTGTTCAAGGAAGTGGGCCAAGTAATATGATTTCGTCTACTCTGTAGGTATGGAACCGAGGTTTGGTTTCAGCGCCTCAAACAAGACGTTTGAACATTATGGAACTCTTTAATTGCTAAAGAATCTTTGCCTCTTCAAATTTCATCTCCAGACTCGAATACCAAAGATTTTATCAGTCATTTCGGTGTCTTGGATTAATTTCGTTTAGCCTTTGAAATAGTTTTTAAATCTAGGTGGAAATGATGAAAGGACCAAATTCACATTTCGTAACTAGAATTAGTCAAAAGAAAGAAAAAAAAATAGATAACGACGAACGATGAGGTATAGGATGGAATTATAAATTTTAGTCAAAATTTAGGGGGGCAACCATGGACCATGGACCGTCCATT